CTAACTTGTTGCAGGAAGCTACATTATTAGTTAGAAAAGTAGATGTGATTAGATTAACGCAGCAAATAAATGTGATGATATACAACATGGCTCTTCAATTTATGTCTTTAATTACCAAGGGGCTCAGTTCTCCCCACAAAAGGCACTTGGCTCTCGAGGAAGCATGGAAAAGCAAAAGCCCACATTCTATTCTTTCAAAAAACGCATTTTAAATGGGGTCACAACCCAAAATATTTCTCCACAAAATATCCAATAAATAAAAGAGGTGCATCAACTGAGTGATAAGGATTTCTTTTACTCCAATATCGGATTATTGGTATGCCCTATACACTATAGAACAGGGGTCATCAAACTGTGGCCCCCCAGATTTTGCTGAACTACGTCTCCCATGATTCTCTGGCTATCTATGTAATTCAAAGAATCATGGGAGTTGTAGTTCAGCAACATCTGGAGGGCCACAGTTTGAGGACCCCTGCTATAGAACATATATGGTCTGCACAATTACCAACCTCAAGTCAACTTTACCAAAGCATAACCACGCTCCTTTCCTCACAAAGTTAAAAGGGGACCTCCACGCATGATCTCATGGGCAGGCCGCATTTATGGGGTCAATTATGATGTTGGTCCCTAAATTACTTTGTCGTTCGCTTACTATCTATATCACCTCCCCCTTTCTTCCACACTGAAATGCAACGTATCATCCATTCCTCCGTTAGGGCGTTAAATAAGAGCCAGTCTATCCCTCAGACTACTGTGGAGATATGGTAGTTCCAAATATAACCACATATTTTAAAGATACAATTTTAGCCTAAACCATTTCCCTTCATGTCCTCAAATGAACTTTCCAATGGATAGACATGGAATCTTACCCTGATTCCCAAGAATCATTTTAACGCAGCTAGGCCTTACTACTGTGGCAGCCACCTCTAATAGTCTGTTAGATGCCAGCCGCTGTGTGTTAGAGCCTTAGGGCCAAACATTCCGAAATCACGTGAAGATGACTGGCCAATCAGAGCCATTCTTAGGCAATTTAAACTTAAAATAAATATTTCTCAATGCCCTGTACTGGTTTCCTTTTTAGTTATCCCTATTTGTATTGATTCTTGTTTATTTTGAACTTGGCTTGTACTTTAACTATTCGGACCTCCGTATCCCTTGATCTTTGGCTTGTCTAACTAATTACGTACCTTCTATTTCCCTAATATTGGCTTGTTCTATGCTATTATATTTATTAACAGTAAATCCAGCCACTCTAAGGTCCAGTAAGATGTTTTAGGATTTCTGGTTATAATTATTTTAGTTAACTCATGTTCTGTGTATTGAGTATTAGTTTATCCTGACATAGCTTCACTAGCACCCTTGCATGCAGCAAACCCAAACCCAAACTTGCCCATTATCCTGTGGGTCACTAAAAACATCACACATATTTCCCAGGTGATATGCGATAATTGGGTAACCTAATTTCCTACTCTACAAAATACTTTTACATTGCCATCTAGATATATCTTTTACAATCTTCAACTCAAAAGTGTCCTTTTAAAACACGTCAACCTACTGTGGCATAGCTAATACTCCTGAAGATACAATGCATATACCCCCAGAGTCTAATCCACTTATTCCTAAATAGCTATTGATACGATGCTCTCAAAACGTATCCTAGTAGCAACAAAACCAGACCTGGTTATATGTTAGCTTCAAATAATAAATTTGCAAACCACCAGTGTTAAAGTGATCAGTGCAAACAAAAAAAATTAAACAACTTAACTTATAGGTACACAGCATCCCACGGCATAGCTAATACTCCTGAAGATACAATGCATATAACCCCAGAGCTTGTCTAATCCACTTATTCCTAAATAGCTATTGATATGATTTTCTCAAAACGTATCCTAGTAGCAACAAAACCAGACCTGGTTATATGTTACACTAGGAAACAAATAATGGGGTGGAGTATGATACTGATGAGTGGATCAAGTTGCCTAATGGCCTAAAAGGCATAACTTGGTGCTATAACCACACTGAGGTAAACAAAAAAAAAAATTTGTAGATTGTACTGGATACCTGATAGTTCTAGTTACTGGAGTTGCCTTCAACCTATAAGAGCACCTATTCATATATGCACCAAATGTTCTTCTTCTTCGTTGGACACTTACTACACCTTATGTTTTTTCTCTTTATTTGTACTTTCCTAATATACAATATATATGTAGCCCGTGAAGTTACACAGGCTGCATTATCTGAAATGCCCAGTAGATGGCACATGGACTCAGTATGCTGTTAATAAAACATTGAGCTTTGATCACATGACTTGCTGAAATCAGGAGATGAGTGTGGCATCATCGCAGGGCCTGTCAGGACTTCCTGCACAGCTCTGAGGGAGGAGGATTCTAAGAGTGACCACATGCTGAGCCAAGGAAAGGACATGTGAGAGACTGTAGCACAGAGATAGGACCTGGCTGAGAGAACTTGTTTCACCCAAGATCACACCAGCTGAGAGAGGGACCTGCAGAAAAAAAAAGAAGACAAGCACTGAGTCCAGACGTCTGGCGAATCCAGTGAGAGGAGACTGCTGCTGACTGACCTGGTTAATCGTGTTGTGAGGGTAAGCCAAGCCTCTCCCTGTATCACCACAGGGCACCTGTCTCCTCACTCACAGTAAAGACTCTGAGGTCCCATGACGGACATTACACATCTGAGGCTGCTTCAGTGACCCTGCGAAGCAGGACTTATAAGGGCCCCAACTCTCCTATGTGCACCAACGGCCGCTAGGGCGAAGATAAGGGGGTGGGGCGCAGGTGTGCTGGTGGGTGAGTGAGGAAAATCCACATTTGCATTGTTATCTGTGTTACTCTATTGTATGTTGGTTCAATTGCTACTTACCATATAAAGTTAGTTCCAGTTAGACTGTGTCAGTCTCATTGCACCAAGTATGTTCCCAGTGGGACCCCACATCCCTACCCCAGATGGTCCACTGGGTGGAGGCACTGCCGCAGACATGTACCCCAGCTCCCAGATAGCGGAGACTCAGGATCCGCCTGTCAGGCATAGTGAGTTAACTAGGTTTGGGGACCCCAAAGACACTAGGGTGCACCCCCAAAACCCCGTTACATATACTAGTTATCTGTAATTTGTGGGTGCAATATATTATAAATGAACTGGTGGAATCATGAGGGAAAGTATCTGTCCTGTGCTGTATCAGAAGGCAGTCTGGATTGAGAAGTGGACAATCATGTAAAGAAGAAGAAAATTAAACCTATTTTTTGTGTATGTTTGTGTGCTGGCTTCTTTAATGGCCTAACCTGAAATTTAGCTGTTCCTCATCATGAAGTCCATTGTGGCTGTTTAAATGATTTTGTTTTTGGTGTGTCAATGTCGTACAAGAGGTATTTTGTTTCTTTTTGCACGTTAATGGAGCTAATATGGAAAAAAAAGTTTGTTTCACATTCTTTTCTAGAGTAATCTTCTTTATAAACTGCATTCCAATATCTGCAGTAGGCTCTCTCGTCATGCTGCCTATGTAATTAAATATAGATGAAGTTTGTATTTTCTTAGCATAAATATTTTCATATATGCTAGTTGTTTCCAAGTAGATCTAGTTTCCAGACTCTATGTCATTATCATTTTTATCTTCTACTCTCTAGATATTTATAGGAAATGTACTTCCTGAGCAGACCTCTGACAGCAGAATAACATGCAGCTCTCAGTTGCATTGGCTCATGGTTCAGGCTGCAGTTATCATTGAACCTCGGTCAATGTAAGCCACTTAGATGCCAGGGTAAAAATCAGGCAAACAGAAAACACACGTAGGCTTGAATCTATGTAGGTACAGACAGGGCCGCCATCAGAAATTTTGGGGCCCCTGACAAAGCACAAGGTCTGGGCCCCCCCTCACTCCCGGGCCCGCCCACGCCCTACCTGGTCCGCTGACAATGATGCAGGACTGAATGTGGTGTGTATAGTGGAAGTGAATTAGAATATGTGTAATGGATGTAGTGTTTGTGTGTATTAGATACTGTTTGTACAGTGAATGCAGAGTGTGTGTTTGTGTAGCGGATGCAGTGTGTATAGTGAACACAGAGTGTGTTTGAGTAGTGGATATACTGTGTGTACAGTGATGTAGTGTGTGTTTGTGTAGTGGATGTAGTGTTTGTATGTACTAGATGAAATGTGTTTAGTGGGTGCAGTGTCTGTAGTGGATGTAGTGCATGTATTAGACGCAGTGTCTGTGTATAGTGAATGCAGAGTGTTTCAATGTGTGGTGGATGTAGTGTGTGTACTGTGAATACAGGATGTTTGTGTAGTGGATGCTGTGTGTACAGTTAATGCAGAGTGTATGTTAGTGTAGTGAATGCAGAGTGTGTCAGTATAGTGAATCCAGAGTGTATGCATAGTTTAGTGAATGCAGAGTGTGTGTTAGTGTGTAGTGAATGCAGAGTGTGTCAGTGTAATGAATGTAGTGTGTGTGTTAGTGCAGTGAATGCAGAGTGTGTGTTAATGTGTAGTGAATGCAGAGTGTGTGTTAATGTGTAGTGAATGCAGAGTGTGTGTTAGTGTAGTGAATGCAGAATGTGTTAATGTGTAGTGAATGCAGAATGTGTTAATGTGTAGTGAATGCAGAGAGTGTGTTAGTGTAGTGAATACAGAGAGTGTGTTAGTGTGTAGCGGATGCAGAGTGTGTTAGTGTAGTGAATGCAGAGAGTGTGTTAGTGTGTAGCGGATGCAGAGTGTGTGTTAGTGTGTAGCGGATGCAGAGTGTGTGTTAGTGTAGTGAATTCAGAGAGTGTGTTAGTGTGTAGCGGATGCAGAGTGTGTGTGTTAGTGTAGTGAATGCAGAGTGTGTTAATGTGTAGTGAATGCAGAGAGTGGGTTAGTGTGTAGCGGATGCAGAGTGTGTGTTAGTGTAGTGAATGCAGAGAGTGTGTTAGTGTGTGGTGGATGCAGAGTGTGTGTTAATGTGCAGCGGATGCAGAGTGTGTGTTAGTGTAGTGAATGCAGAGTGTGTTAATGTGTAGCGAAACAGAGTGTGTGTCAGTATAGTGGATGCAGTGAGTGTGTTAGTGTGTAGTGTATACAGAGTGTATGTTGTATTAGTGTATGCAGTGTGTGTGTTGTGTTAGTGTATGCAGTGTGTGTGTTGTGTTAGTGTATGCAGTGTGTTGTGTTAGTGTATGTAGTGTGTGTTGTGTTAGTGTATGCAGTGTGTGTGTTGTTAGTGTATGCAGTGTGTGTGTTGTGTGTTAGTGTATGCAGTGTGTGTGTTGTTAGTGTATGCAGTGTGTGTGTTGTGTTAGTGTATGCAGTGTGTGTGTTGTGTGTTAGTGTATGCAGTGTGTGTGTTGTGTGTTAGTGTATGCAGTGCGTGTGTTGTGTTAGTGTATGCTGTGTGTTAGTGTATGCAGTGTGTTGTGTGTTAGTGTATGCAGTGTGTGTGTGTGTTGTGTTAGTGTATGCAGTGTGTGGGTTAGTGTATGCAGTGTGTGTGTTGTGTGTTAGTGTATGCAGTGTGTGTGTTGTGTTAGTGTATGCAGTGTGTGTGTTGTGTTAGTGTATGCAGTGTGTGTGTTGTGTTAGTGTATGCAGTGTGTGTGTGTGTGTGTTAGTGTTTGCAGTGTGTGTGTTGTGTTAGTGTATGTATTGTGTGTGTTGTGTAAATGTGTGATCTGGGGGGGGAGGGGGAGGAAGGGGCATTTTAACATTAATTTTTAATTAATTTAATTAAATGTTTCTCCCCCCTCCCTGCTTACCTGTATCCAGGGAGGGGGGAGCTTCCATCTGTGGTGGCCCGGTGGCATGGGGGCCCTCCCGGCTCCCTGTTACCGTCCGCAGAGGGGGCCCAGGCAGCACACATCTTCTCCTCCTCTCTGCTCTCTCCTCATAACTCTCGCGAGACCCGCGGAGCGTTGCCATGGTAACCGGGTCTCGCGAGAGTTATGAGGAGAGAGGAGAGGAGGAGAAGCTGTGTGCTGCCTGGGCCCCCTCTGCGGACGGTAACAGGGAGCCAGGGGCCCGCGGCTGCACACATAGATAGCGAGATTCGCTACCTATGTGTGCAGAGAAACAAAGTGGGGCCCAGGACTGCCAGAGCAGTCCGGGCCCCCCAGGGCCGCCGGGCCCGTGACAACAGTCACGGTTGTCACCCCCTGATGGCGGCCCTGGGTACAGAGTCATTATAGTATTTGGAATACAGGTTTATATTCCACTATAGTGTTCCTTTAAAAGTATTGATTTTTTTTTTTATTAAAATGGTCTTATTTGCTCAAATACAATCACTGATACTATATACATATGCTCACTCACACTCAATAGTCCACACAATCACACACTGATCCAGACACACACACTGACCCAAGCACACACACCCACACCCAAGCAGACACACACACATAAAATACTGACCCAAACACACACAAACATACTGACTGAAACAGGCTGACACACACACACACATACACCATGAAGTCCCCCACTTGCCTTCATTCAAATGGTCTCTCTATGGGTCCCAGTCCAGGCCTGGCTGCCTTGACACTCTTTTCTCTCTGCCCCCACTATCCTCCCACCCACTTGACCCCGAGTACAGGGCAAGGAGTGGGAGATATTGTACGATGTGCACGTGTGCTGATGGGATATGAGAGGTGTGGGGGGTAGGGGAGGGGGTGGCTCTCTGATCTTTGCGTGCTGAAAGTGAAGGCACTGGGCACTAGTTTACAGCTATGTAAGTGCTCCCTAGTGCCCGGTGCCATGACCTGTGTGTGGTAAATTACCAAACTCTATAAATTATTATGTACGCACACACATATAACATATGGTCCGTCTACTTTAAAAAATATTTATTCAGAGACAAAACAACAACAACATACAAATAATGACACACAATCTAACTAACTATACCAACAACAGCAACAACAATCTAACTAACAATAACAACTAACTCTTATAAAGGCACAGGATCCCACTCACAGTGGACTGGACTGGTGGGGGATATCTTGGTCCACCACAGCACTGACCCGAGCCTGGATCCACACAAACAGGCCCTGGTGAATGGGCACCGACACGAGTGTCTAACGCAACCTACCCTGTCTAAAATGGCGGTTATGTGCAAGAAGATGGCCGCAATTCACCATGCTGAACCCACACATCACAGTACTGTACTGCCAACATGCTCTGAACAGCATTGTGCAACATCCTGCTGGAGTGTGCAAGGGAGGCTGGCAGATGGCATCAGTATGGAAGCGACACCACAGCGGTCTACCCCTCAAACTTACCAGGCCGCAACAGTGCCTGAGACGGACATGACTGAGTCCCATCAGAAGCAAGGCTCCTGGTTCGAGACAGAAAAGAGGCAGGCACCCACCTACCTGTGGTCAGAGCCGCACTGGCAAAATCAGGCTGCGGCAGCGAGCAGTTCCTCTTGAAGGCGTCTAAAACCGCACATGCTCACTCTAGTTCAGAAAGCCAGCAGACGTGAAGAGATGGTGGCCTTGCAGCTTGGCGACACGACACCCTACACAGGCCCAGTCTCGGCCCACATCTCGGACTTACTCATCTTATCCCCGAAGTTGGCGTGGGGTGAGGGGCATGAACTGCTCCTAGGCCACTCTGCACCCTAAAGTAACCTGCATGTACCTTGCAGCTGACTTTCTTTTATGTTATTTTGCTGTGCTCAAAATGCATGTGATCTGCCCCTGCTCCCTACACCGGGTCTATGCTATAACTATAACTGCTAGGCTGTTCCATAACATAGTAGCTGTGGTTTTATACAAGCCTGTAGCCTAACCTTGATTATCTATCCTACTTCAGCAGGTATACTGAATATAGCTCTGTTGTATCAAGTGCAGGATTCTGTCTTATGCTAACTAACGTATATACTAGTAATCAATGCCTGTTCATGTATAACCTGCAGAGTATTCAAGTTTGTCTTTGAGCTACTTTTATACCAATCTGACACTTCTTGTTTAAAAATCATTTCTCTTACACATTAGAATCTGTCTGACACCTCTTGTTTAAAAATCTTTTATATTACCTTAAAAAAACAGAAAACATGCAAAGTATTTACATGCCATGCTAATGTACCATTATGTATGATACTGAATGCTTGTCGATGCTATCGTGGCACCACAAGCCTGTTTGTAATTACCTGCACTGCAAAAAAAAAGAATTGAAAAAAAAAAAAAAAGACAATTGTCATCTCAAAATTACTTTGTTAATATAATAATAGTTTTATCAAGATTTGAAAGGAAATAGATTTAAAAAATAAATAAGTATATGTTAAAATTCATTACCACCTTTAATATATGATATGATCATTGGGCCAAATACATGTACTTTGGTTCGGACAGCGTTTGAAAACCTACAGTTAGTCTATAGTCTTCCCTACTTCATTCCCTGCACCGAAGCTGGGAAGACCAGAGTTTTCAAATACTGTCTGAACCAAGGTTCTATAGGTAAATAGCTGAAGGATCCTGTCATATTCTAAAGATGGGGATGAGTTTTCACATGCACTTCACTTAAAAAAAAAATACATTGATTTCCTCTCAAACCTTGATAAAGGGATTATTATATTAAAATAGAGTTTTGAGGTGACAGTGGTCTTTTAAGCTGCAAAAAATATATATATATATAAATAAAACAAAACTAAAAAAAGGATAATTACACATAAATAAATAAAACCAAGTTGAAAAATTCAAGGGCAAAACCTGCAAAGTGACAGAGCTGCTTTAACCTACTCAACAGTGGAGAACACTAATAAGTATATTCTTGGTGTTGATAACTGGAATTGTGTTGCCCACAGGGGCATTGCTAGGTGACAAAAAGACCAGGAACGATATCATCAATGTTATTCATTTCGCTCTCATTGGTTTTAATGTTGTGGCTGATCAGTGTATGTAAGTTTTCATTGATAATGGGAACCATCACATCTTGGAATTGTTTAATACTAGTAATGTGATTTACCCTCTATAGTCATCAAATAATTTTGGTGTCTATAAAATAAAATAAAATAAAATTTAGAGATCCATACCACTGTATGTACCTGTATCCTAGAACTGAGTGCCTGCATCTTGGCATCCTGTCAATCATTGTTAGAAGCTACTTTTTTCTGTCACTGAGTATATCTGGAGACTGAAGAAATGAAACAATGATTCCATTTCTCCTGAATGCAATGCTTGTTTTGACTAAACTAGATTTTGTCATAAGTTACTAAATCTTTAATGTACACATCCAAAAAATGGTGAAGTACATAAAAAAGTGAATAAATTATAGATGATTTTCAGTGCTTTATTCAATTATATAGTTTTCAAAAAGTGACACTTCCCCTTTAAAATAGTCTAATGCAGGGGTGCCCAAAAGGTAGATCCCCAGATGTTTTATAACTACAGATTCCATAATGTAAAGACATTTGAAAGGCATGCAAAGCGTCATGGGAGTTGTTGGTTTACAACATTCGGAGAACTATCTTTTTGACACCCCTGCTCTAATGCAACCTAGATTACCTACAATAGCTATGTATGTCAAGACAGTGTTACATATATTGGAATGTTGCAGTTGGTATTGTCCTGGCTCTTCATACAATTCAGGTTGCTATCAAGCTAACGTGATGTATGGAATACAGGAGACATATGAGATTTTCCAAGCAGGGGCTTTGTTAGTGTGTATTATCTTCAGTGATTGCAATCTCATTCTGATCTAGAATAACTACTTCTCCAACAGCTTGATGGTCCCTGGTGCCTACCTTAGGATTATGCTGTCATGACTTGACAAGGCAAGCACAGCTCAATAAATATGGGACCTCTATGGGGTCTGACTGCTCGATAGTTAAGGCTCAAACAATCACTGACCTGTCACTAATGAATACAGATGTCCATATCGTGTCACACAATCTGTTTATTCTCCTGGTGGGTGATTGCCGGCTATGTCAGGAAGAGCTGGCTACTTGCACATCTGACAAATCACAGAAGAGTATTGCACAGTTACTATATGCAGCAGGATCCGCATCAACCTATTGTTAAACTTTAACCATTTTTAATATATATATATATATATATATATATATATATATGTATACCAGTAATAATCATGTCAGCAAAATGTCTTGAAGAATAATGAGCTGACCTACTGTAACGTCATGCTGACTACAAATTGAGAATATCCATTTACAGGAAGGTCTTACAGAAAGAGCTGGAAGTGGTGTTCAGCACCAAAGGCAGCAAAAGAGTTC